GGCCCATCCAACGGTTGTCGTGGCGCAGCCCTGCATGGCGTGCCGCACGCACCGAGGCGTACGAAACTGACATCATGCCGTACTGAGTCATCAGCTCCGCCTTGGCAAGCTCAATAACCTTCAGTGCACGCTCCTTGTTGTCGAGGATCCCGAGAAGCAGGGGGTAGAGGTTGGCATACCCCACATACGGCGAAAAGGAGTCAGCAGAGCAGCCAGCACGATCGGCGTAGCGCTGGTGTCTCGCGTCCCAGTGCACCGCGTCCAACCAGCCCAGCCACAACCGCTTGGGAACCGTCTCAGGGAGTCCCAAATACAACTCGATATCACTAATAATTGAGCTCAGTAAGGCAACCCATGAAAAGAGATCAACATGTGCCCCAAGTCCGTGCTGACCAGGGCAAGCATGTCTGGGGTAGTCCGGCATGCCACTGGAGGGGATGCGGTAGTTATCACGTGAGCGCCATCGATACCCTGGCGGTGTTTTGTTTACAGACACCTTTTCTGCCTCTGCAGCCACGAGTGCCTCTAGGCTCATTGCACTTTCCTCCGAGCTCTGCGTCTTGTGAAACCACGACCGCCAACGACGCAGTGATGGCAGTATCAGCTCGAAGAACTTCTTCTCTGACGCGGCACCCTCGCAACTGCGCAGTAATTGAGGGATGGCAAGGAGGATAGTGGGGGGTGCGGCAAAACTCAGGTGTTGGTAGCGTGCCGATGGTGGAGCAAATGCACGCGATGCGGCTGTAAACGTCGCCAGATGTGGAATAAAGCCGCTGCTGGCGTCTTGAGCGCCGACGAGCCACGAGGCGATGGCCTCCTTCGTCCACTCCCTGTTCCAGTGTATAAGAAAAAGGAGGTGGTACCCTGTCATGGTCATGTCACCGTACGCACTCCCCACGCGTGAGGTCACCGCACCAAAAGCGGAGACGTCAGACAACGCTACCCGTAGTTGTTCATCGGATTGCACTTTCGTTGCCTTTCCCTGCGCATCCAATAAGGCCGTAACGCTTGGATCTACGTAGAGGTATCGTCCGTGCCAAAACCCCCAGGCACCTAGCGCACCGCTGAGTAAGCGACGCGCCCTGTTGATGTAAAGTTTTAGATTCAAATGAGACCCAGTTCTCCACGGTGTGAACATTTTACGCATCTGTGACAGCGCCTCCTTCTCCCGGGTGCGGAAAACGTTGGTCAGCTGGCAGGTTGTCAAGGCCTCGTAGGCTGCCTTGAATAGGCGGTGCTCAGCCTCATCCTGGCCGTCCGCCCCAAGATGCATCGCATGCCGCATGGACAGTTCCACCCGGAAGTCGGACGCGTACCGCTTACGAAACACCATCACGTTATGCGGTCCAACCCCGGAAGGACCCATTTTGTGAGGCTGTGCACTCAACAGCGGGCTGCGGAAGTTGACGTCGCGGAGAAATTCATCCTCAGTGGACGCCCATCCGTCCACCTTCCAAGGGGTGGCCGCAAAGACAGGGTTGTGGTCATCGTGAATATGCAACGAGAAGCCTTCCCGACGCCCTTCGGCGTCTTCAAACTCGCTTTTTATCTTCGCATCCCATGACCCGTCTGCTGACGTTGGCTCCAGCTCGAGGGCTCCGCCGCCGTTTACGACATACACGACGAACTCAACGGGCTCCGCCCCATCCATGTGACCATGCGTGCGAACGTGCCAGGAGTCACCTGAAGGACTCTTAAGAAACTCAATTTGCATCTTGGCTGGGCCATCCTGTACAAAGAGGCGCCCATAATGAACCCCATCATGGAGTGCCCACGCTGCCTCAAATTTATCCGCTTTCTCGTCAGAAATCGCACCTCCATTGCTGCCCTGACGTCGCTCTAGCGACAGCACATCCACCAGCCTGTGCCGGACGGGGTGCAAGCCTGCCACGTCATACCATGCAATGCCAACGTACACCGGCTTTGGGGTGCGTGTCTTCATGGCGAACAAAAGACCAGGCTCGTAGGTGCCCCACAGCATGGTTTTATTGTACTCGAGCGACGGAAAGCGGGGCGGGGAAGCCTTGTGGCGGCGGTACCCCGCCTCCAATGCTCGCACCGTGTCATCGCCCCAAAGCTTATCCACCACCCTGCACCCCAAGTTCTCCACGACAAAGAACGGCGTGAAGTAGTAGATGATCCCCATGGGAAGCCCGAGCAGGACAAGAAAGAAGAGAATACAGGACAGTGTTGCCTTAATCGTCCCGACCTGGGAAGACTCCTCGTCCACCCGACGGCGCGTATCCTTTTTTAGAGTATTGGCGAGAGCAGTCTTTTGGTTTGCGGCATTGCCCGCTAACAGAGGGCGTCGATCCCGCATGTGCGTCGGCGAGAAAGAGACTACGCGGTTTATAATCCCCTTGGTGCTATTTTACCTGCCCAGTGAAACGAGTTTCGTACACATACACACGCGGTGGTAAGAACAAGAATAAAAAGGAAGGGTAAACAGAATCCCGTGCAAAATGGTGAAAAAAAATCCCACAGCCACACTCACAAACATATTTATTTACAGAGATAGGAAAAAATAATTCAAAAAAAAAACGGGTCATGTTACACACATAATACGCATTGTCAAGTGTTCCCTACCCCTACCAAACATATTTTTGTCCCTACACCCCCCCCCCCCTCCCCCCTAGATAATACGGAGTGGGGCACTCTGCTCGCCGCATCTCCTGCGAACGCGCCAGCGCATCGTCCAGGGAAGCCAGAGTCGCTCCCAAGGCTCAATGCGGTGGCGGTGTCGCTGTTCCGGTGGCCATGGTATTCGTCAGCAGCTTGCAGCGAGGAGACAAGAGGGAAAAGAAAGTGGATGAAGCAACGTACACGGGAGAAAATGTGTCGGAACGTCCTTGACTAGATGAGAAACTCTCCCCCTGAAAAGGCGACCGTGCCTTAGTGTCCCTTCAGGCCACATGATTGTGCGAACGCGTCGCCGCCAGAATGACGGATAGCCTCGCGCCTTCAGCTGTGCGTAAACGGCACCAACTGCCAGCGTCCCTGTTGTCGCTGCTGGAGGAGGAAAACCGGTGGTAGTGTGTTGGCTCGCACCCTGCGCGGGGCTGAGGCTTGCGGCGGCAGACTGGTATGCAATGGATACAGCAGCTGTGCCAAGTGCGTGCGCTAGGCCTCATTTAACCCAAAAAGCCCAAGCAGCGCCCTCACGTCGATGGTTGCCCGCAGCGTTGCTCCCCAGCGGAGTGACCGGCGGCGCCACAGAGGCATCCTCAGCTGAGGATGCGGCGAAGTGGTGTTGCTTGAGGGAAGTGACATGCCACCTCCTCCTGCCTCGCTGCTGCCCGTGCTGGTGCTGCGCCAATTAACGCAGCTGGCGTGACCCCATCGCCCCCACTCAACCTCCCTTTCTCTCCCTCTCCCTCACACACACCTCACCCTCAGAAAACCGAACAAACCAAGGGTGAGCGCCGTCATACGCATGCAGTGACAATAAAGAATAAGAAAGGAAAGCCAACAAAAAAAAAAAGGGGGGGGGGGGGGGCCAGCCAAGAAGGATGCAGCGGTCAAAAGTGCTCACCAACCCAATCTCGACATGAATATGCATACATGTGTATGTGTATAGTCCCCCACCAGGAAGAATGGAGCAAACCAAGAAAGAAGAAAACAAAAACAAAAATGAGGTGCATCTACGTCCATATCCGCTCAAGCAAAACATCCACCAGCTGCCCGCCATCGCCACGCACGCTCACTCGCTTGTCTCCTGGTGATGTTCAAAAGGGCAAAGGGCTGAGCAAAATCGCCCGGGGCCGTCTGCGCAGTTGCTGCTGTGAGGACACCACAGTCCTGCCCTCCCGAATTTCACCCCTCCGCGGGCGCCGCCCTTTCCTTGATGACAGTGGTGATGGAGGGGGCGAGTGCGCCACCGATCCCTCTCCTGTCGAGTCGTCGCCCATCCCGTCGTGCAAAGTGTCAAGCGATGAGAGGGACTGTGAAGTCGCACGCTGCTGCAGCCACATCTCCGGTGAAGGCTGCGCAACAGCAGCAGTGGGAGCTGGGGACAAAGAAAACGCAGAAGGATATGCATTGGCAACAGTACCGTTTCTACGAGCAACGGGGTAAGGAACCTCCCGCCTCTTCTGTGGGTTGTCCTTGTCTCTCTCCAGCAGCACCTTCACGTCCCCCCGCTGGGAGGGCGCCGCAACCCTCTCCATGGTGCACTGACGCCGAATGGTGTCGGCGCCCCTCACAGCGTGCTGGTCTATCGCTGCGGCCGCCTTTGCTGACGTGCGTGGCGGCGATGGCGGTGTTGCGGCTCCCGTGTCGCCATTGCCGTCTTCCTCCTCGTTTCCCGAATGCTTGAAAAAGGCGAAGGCGTCACTCGACACCAATGCATCCCGCGGCACAGACGTTGCGGAAGTGAGGTGGTCTATCAACTCCCGCTCAGCCAACTTAAGGCGAGCCTCATACTTTTGCACCGTGAATCGGTGCGCCTCAATCTCCGCTTCTAAGCGTCGCACCAGCGTCTCTCGGTCCTTCTCGTTACTTTGCCGCATTTCTTGCAACTCCCGATAAAAACCCTTCACGAGTTCCTCCACCTGTGTCAACTTCCCAGGCTGTGAGGTGAGTGAGGGAGTCAGTGTGGACATGGCCTCCCTGAGCAGAGTGCGAACGCCGGCCAACGCTCGGTAACACGCCCGCAGCACGTCACATGCCTCCAGAAGATCGCCCCCCTCCTGTGTAAGCAACGTCGCCGCTCCCGCCGCCTCGTGCACGGAGGTTGGTGGTAATTCCATAAGCCCATCGACGCCCCCCCGCCAACGTCGCTCTGCACGGTGGCCGCCTCCCACGTGAAGAGAGGAACCTGACTGACAATCAGGGGTTGCATCCGTCAGCGAAAGCAGCTTGCTCGTGCCGACGTTGTGTGGCTCCTTACACCGCGTCATTTGGCGAAGAAGATCGGTATGCAGAAACTCACAGTGGTAGTCGTACACCCACCGCGCCGCCTTCTCTACTGCCTGCTGTATGTCCAAAATGAGGTCGGCGATTTGCTCCAGCAGAAGAAGCCGCTCTGTCTGCTCCAGCTTCAACTGAGACTCGGTGTGCTGTATCCCCTCATACACCTGCATGATTAGTGCGCTAAGCATGCTTGGGTGAATCTCGTCATCCATCGGCCCCCCATAGACCTCGCCGGTGGTGCCTTGTTTTTGCCTCCGCAGCAGCGTCAGAAGGGCGTCGCGCAGAAACCGCCGCTCCTCCTCCTGCGTTCGAAGCAGAAAGTGTACCTCCACACACTCTGACAACTGTCTGTCCCGCACAATCGACACGAGCCGCGTAGCCAACAGCTCACACCGCCGCTCGAGGCGCTCAATGTGCTCCGCGTCCCCATGGCGACTGCCGCTGCTATTCTTCTCCGCCTCAACTCCACGATCACCCTTCGCCTTGCGCGGCAGTGGCGGCGGCTGGAGCAGTCGCGCCACGTCCACATGAGTCTGCCGCAGTTGACGCCGCAGCGCCTCGTTTTCAAGCTGCAGCGAACGCAGCGAGGATTCTCTCGTAAAGACCAACGCAGGCATCTACCCACACCTCCCGCCACACACCAAGAAGAAAAGGCGGAAAAGAGAGTGAGTGAGGGTGAACACGCCCACTCTCGGAGAGTTGTTCTTTTTTTTTGCGGTTTCTTGGCCTTTTGCTGCTTATTCGTGCCCCGCCACGTTGTATGTCTATGTCCGCGACACGTCCTGCACTACAGCAGCGCGAGGGCAAGAAAGAAAGGGGGAAAAAAAAATATTAATGGCAATAATAACAACAACGCATCGTTGCGTCCGAATATACTGTACATAAAGAAAACAAAAATAAACCGCAACAAGACGGTGGGCATTAACCTCTTTGTGGGAAGAACTAAAAACAAAGTGGGGAGAAAAAGGGGAAAAAAAACATGAGGAAAGCATATGGAAAGGCAAACTCAGAGCTGCGCCGTCCAAAATGCACATATATACGTGCTGCTACTGCTGCCACTACCTCAAGGCTCGTTCACGCCCTGTAGCTTTGAGCGCCACTCCTTTTCCAGACGCCGCGAGGCTTCAATCCATGGTTCACCTTGGAAACCCTCCTGGTTTGGCTGGAACCCAAGACGATGGTAAAAACTCTTCAAGTTCGCCTCGGTCAGGCGATTGACATCATCCACGCTCCTGTCCACCGCGTAAGCCGCCCTACAATCCAGCAGGGCATGCTTACTGCGTCGCTGGCCTCCCGATGGGATAGCCAAGGGCGAGGTGGAATCACCCACTAGCGCCGCTCGCAACAAAATCCCGGCGTGAAGAATTTTCTTATCCATACTCCATATCTCGTGCATGAACACCATGCGCCCGGCGGGTGGCAACTGCTTCGCCACCCCGCTCCCATCCCTCCCCGATGTTGGCCCCACTGATACAGGCCCCGCGTCTTCAAACCGCAGCACCTCGGTTGTCACCAGATAACTGCGACATGGCGGAAGCTCTCGCACGTACTGTATGCTGACAGAGGCAACTACGAGACTTGTCCTTTTCTTCAAGTATGTTTGCGCCAGTCCACTGTAAGCTGCGTAATGCCAGCGGGCAAGCTCACACATCTCAAGATATTTGGCGTTATTGACATGGCCAAAAATATCAGCCATTCGTATTCCGGCGTAGACGCAAGTGTAGTGCTTCTTCAGCGGGTCAACAATCGCCTGCGGGTTGGCACGCAGCAGCTGACGACGCTGGTACGCTCCATACATGCAGTACCGAATCGCGCGAAGCAGCAGCATAAAAGCCATGGCTTCTGCTATCCTGGACTATGCATGGGATAGATAACAAGAAAAACAAAGCCAAAAAAATGGGAAAAAAGATGAGGTTGAGAGAGAAAACATCCGTTGCACGTTGTGGATACACAGCATGAGATTGTGAATAACGCGCTTCTCTCCTGAGGAATTGCCTCGGCGCCCGCTCACTGCACGCTCCTCCCCTTCATGTTGGTTGTAGTTGTGATGGTTTTTCTTTGCTTGTGCGTTTCGCTCGCCTTTCTCAAGACGGATTGGGAAAGGCACTGTTGTCTCTGTAACGCCCCGTCCACATGGCACTTAATGCATCATAGTCATCCGCCCCGCGTCGCTGCGCCGGTATGTCTCGGTCCCCAAACATCACCCGACCAAGCCAGGGCTTGTTCTCTGGAAGAAGAGCATTATTGACCCCTTTCAGTACAAAGTCCATCGCCTGTTCCGAGATCCTTCCCTGCTCCTCGCACTCTTCGCGGAAACGCTGTGCCCAGCCCTCCTCCTCGAGTCGCTGCAACGAGTACAGCATAGCGTAGTACGCCTCCATGTTCATGGCCACGTGGCATCGACGCATGGCGTAGAAAACGGCCAGCGCTTCACTAAAGGAGTCGGTGCGCGCAAAAAGATGTTGAATGGTACGCACCGACAGCTCCCTGCCATTTCGTCCGGCGAGGTGCATGAGAAGTTCTAAGTCATTCGTGCTTTTTGTGGCGTCTTTGCCCAACGGAAGACAAAGCAGCAACAACCGATCAAACGCATCGCCCAGCCCACGACTTACATCCTTCTCACGCGGAGTCGCAGGATCGAGGTTGTACTTCTCAATAAGTGCGGCCACACAGCGCACGCGCTTGTCAGGGTCCGGAATCGCCTCCGTGGATATCCACAACGCGTGAATTTCTCTGCGGGCCTCGGCGGCTCGCTCCATCACGTCATGGGCATCACCGTCTGAGGGCGCTGACGAGGAGGTGGAAGCATTCGCCTCAACGTGGGGCGCATTGCCAGTTGCCGTGGTGTTCAAGCGAAGGCTGGGGCAGTGCAGCCCCGTCCGGGCAAAGGCACCAACCTGAAAGCAGAGTCGGCGCATAATTACCAAAAAAAAAAAGAGGATTCACTCCCTCGTTTTTGTTGTTCGGTTCGTCAATGCGTATGTTTCCCTCTGCTGCTGCCTAATGAGACCTCCACCGTGAAAGAAGCTGAAGCAAAACAAAGGCAGCGATAAGGCAGGAAGGAACACGGGGGAGAGAAAAAAAAAATGGGAGGAGCGAGGATGGTGCGCCCGTAACGGCGGGAGGAACACCTCAAAGATAAGGGCGGAGTGCGCACCCTTTGCATCAGCAGGGTTTCACAAAATGAAGAAACGATAGAAACAAGTAAAAATAAGAGAGATGGGGGAAAACAAGAGAAGCAAGATCAAAGGGTAAAATCGAGAGGCATCAAAAGCTACAGCCTCTCAACGCCCTCGTTCATTCTCCCTCTTTTTCTCGTTCTCCTGTCTTGCAGGCCTTAGGTAACCTCCCGACGTTAGATTCCCGCATCTCGTCTCCTGTTCTCCCCTTACTGTCGTTCCTGTTGTGATATTATTCCGTCACCTTCAGTTTCGTTACAATATGTGTATTAGTCCTATTTTTCTTCCCTCCACCGTTTTGTCGTGGGTTTCGCCTGCGTCTTTGCTTCTCTCCTTGTGTCTGCTGGTGCTGTGGCAACTCCCCCTCCATTTTTTAAAAAAATTTCTTCCCACTCCCACCATCTTCAAAATATCTCCATTTCTTTTACGTCTCAGTGTTTTTGCTCTTGTTTTTTGCCTTCTTCTTCACACTCCACGTTTCCTACTCTCCCTTCCGCTTGGGCCCACGCAGCCAAGCGGTAGCCAGCGCGCCAGCAACACGGCCTGAGGTAAGCCGCGGGGAAGAGCGATCCGCCTCACCCGGTCTCACTCGACGGTGGGAACAAACAAACAATATATATATCATACGCAAGTGAGAAGAGGCCCACAAGCCCCTTGGATCTATCCCCGGTCCCATCCATCTGCAACGCGTTAGAACTGCATGGGTGGTGGGCTGGCCCCCAGCCACGGGATGAGCGGGAGCATTCGCTCCAGCACTGCGTACACAGTAGGGAGAAGCATCACACGAAGGGGGAACGCCACCGTGTACACACTGTAAAGTGCCAGACCGGTGGTCACCGCTCCTTCCCAGAAGGACTTTGAATTCGCGGAGGGACCCGCCATCTTCTTTGAGCGCAGAATGCCGGAGGTTGAGGTGCCAGCTCCGTCATTGAGACTTTTCAGCCGCTCCAGAGAAGCACTTGCCTGAACGGTGTTGTTGTCCTTGTCATTCACTCCCTCTGTATAGTTACCTCCATGCCTTGACTTTGCTAGCGTTAAGGGCGATGCGACTACACCCTTCTCAGAACAGCCCTCTTCCTCTTGCCGCAGTTTCTCCAGCATCACAAATACCTGTGGGGCTCGGCGAGCGACGTCGGGCTGAGATGATGTTGCCTTCTCCAGCAACTCCTTTGCCATCTTGTACGACTTACCACACCCGTGTTCACCCTTCAGGTACATGCAGCCCTTCACAAAGTAGGCAGAACCACAGCCGCGATCAGCGGCCTGTTCGATCCATGCGTTGTACTTTTCATTGCTTTTTAGTCTCTCCATTTGTTCTGTGGACAACATTGTAGACGAGGTGCAGCCACGAAGGTAGAGCTGCGCAATGGCCAGCATTGCGTGAACACTGCCCGCCTTTGCAGCACGCTGATAAAAGTACAGAGCGGCTGGAAACATGGGAAGGAAATGCCGGGCTCCGGTATCAAACTGTTCACCAAGCTTGAGGTTAGCTGCAATACTGAAATCCTTATCGTTCAAAGCAGACTTAAGGAGTAAAAAGGGTCCTCGCGGTGATTGAAGCTGGGTGTAAATACTATGCAAAAGGAGGATGCTCTGCTCGTGATTGTGGTAAATAGCCGCCAGACGAAGAAAGTGCAGAGCCGCCTGAATCTCTTGTTGTTCAAAGTGCATCAAACCTGTTGTCATGAGCTCGTGAGCTGTCATGGCGCGTTCAGCGTCGGAAGCGTACTCTTCCTTTTCCTCTTCTGTCGCCGCCCCCACGTTGACGCGGGCCTTGCAGATATCCAGCTGTGTGATCTCAAGGAAATTTGCTAGCGTTGCTGGATGTGCACGCTTCTCACGAATAATGTTATGCAGGCGTAGCATTTCCTCCAAAATCTCCTTTTGACTGTGTGCTTGCTTTGCTGCCTCACCTTCAGCGGCAGTCTCCAATGTGGTCTGCACCTCAAGCAGCTTCTTTCGAATTTCCTCCTCCTCAGCTTTGTAGTTTTCCAACTCTGCACGGATGAATTCCTTGTCATTTGTATTTGGGGCCTGCCTTGTCACCTCCTCGGCGGCCTCATCCAGCAGCTTGTCCAGGTTCTCCTCGTTGAGCTCCTCCGCCTTTTGTGCTTCTGCTGCCTTCTTCTCCTCCTCGAGGTTCATAGGAATCGGGGGGTGGTGCTCGCAAAAGAGAGCGTCAAGCTCGTCGCCCCATACGCACAGTTTGGCCACGTCGGTGGGGCTCATCGGCATGTCCAGCAGACACGGCCACAGTGTAGGGGTCTTCTTCGCCAAATCTAAGACAAGCAGCCCACCCTCCTCTTCCACCCGCCACTCCACCTCGGCTGCCACAGCCTCGTAGAGGCGCCACTGCAGAATGGAGGTGTCATGGTGGCGCACGCAGAGTACAGCAAGATCCTTCACCTCCACCGTGAGATCACGCGGCCGCACAGACTGTGGGAGGACAATTGGTATGCGGATCTCCACAGCCTCTTCGCCCTCTTCGCCCTGGAACCAACGGGCCTTGCCAACTCTACAAACACTAGACATTATTCACACTGGAATTCCTCTCTAGGGCGAGGTTGAAGATGATGAAAATGGCGAGAGAAAGAAGAATGCTGGGAAACACGCGCCACGGAGAAACACTACATTACACGGGAAAAAGCGTAAGACAGAGGAGAGATGCGAGAGAATACTTATACGGTCTGTTGCACACCGTCCATAGTAACCACAAGAAAGGAGAAACATAAAGCGGAGAAAAAACCACACAGCACACGAAATGCACGCTCCAACAACACTGCTCGCTTAGCCCTACCACACTCACTACCCAAGCGTTGGGTCTAATACGCGGTCCTTCAAGTTTGTTTGTTTTTGACTGCGGCGCAACATATATATATATATATATATTGGTGGTGGTTGATATTTGCTGCGTCTATTCCTTCCTCCTCTCTTATTTCCGCCGCTTCTCCCCCTGGTGTGGGAATAGGCATAGGTGTGTGTGTGTGTGTGAGAGAGAGAGAGAGAAAGAGGAACCCTCCAACTCACCTGGGCTCACTTCAGTGGCCTGGCAACCACCATCACATGCTTGCAAAACCAGTAATCCTTCAGCGTCCGCATAGACACCACCCTCAGCTCTGACTGCCTGAGCAAGGACAAAAAGTCCGCCTCAGAGGTGGCCTCGCCAAAGTCCATAGTCGTCAGCAACTTCAACACGCGTCGCAGCAAGGGTAACACGTATGGGCCCCACAAGGTTGGCTTCTCAAAGGTTGGTGTGAACACCAGCGCGCCACTATCATCATCCTCCGCATTTCCCGTGCACGAGGAACCGTTGGCCGCGGGCCCCTGAAGCATCCGGCAACAGCGCTTTATCATGTCCACCTTGTTTGGAATGAGCGTAAAACCACCAGAAAAGTAGATGAGAGCAACATGCGGGGGGGTGTACTCTAGAATGCTAGAATATACTATGTTCACCTGGTTTTCCAGCTCATACTTAAGGATGTCGTCTTGTGCCGTGCGTGCATATTCTGCGTCGCAAACAACCCCCGTCACATTGAGTCCTTTGCTTCGGATAATGTCACGGTTGGCAATAAGGCTTGAGGCGCCGCCAACCCCAACGTCGAGTACGAAGGCATCCATAGGACATAGCAGCAACACCTCACGATACCACATGTCTGCCACCGGCTCAACCATCCAATCGTAGAGGGTGGATTTAAGGTATTTGCATGATTGCAAGCGAAGTAGCAAAGACATCTTCACTATCCCTTCTCCTTCGCTGGGTTTTGTGTTTTGTGTCTTCATTTATTCTGGATTTTGGTATACTGCCCTTGTATTTCTCCACCTTTCTTCCTATTCCTTCTCCTCAGCGCCACGGTGTCCCTCCTCAAAGCAATTCCAGTGCAGAGAGCTAAGGCAAAAAATTCAAATGCAAACAAACTCACCACCTTGTGAAGACTCCGCAGAGGAACAAGCAAAGGGATCAAAAACCAGACCTCGGTGAGACGATCGTGGCACTTCCACTTACCAAAAAGCGCATCATACGCATCATTGTTCCCGTAGGCGCTTACGGGCATTATGCTGCCATTGTTCCAGTTGGTCCTCAGCGAGTGAGCGCTCCACTAGACTCACACCACCATTCTGCGCAGTGCACCTTTTAAGGTTTACCGAGCCCCGCAGGGCGCCTGCGTCGGTGCGCACCCCCGGCCCTCGCGTGCCCACATCAGGGAAAGGATGCGGTTGATGCATACCAATCCAGAGAGCCGCACTCTCCTTCAAGGAGTAGTTCCGCGCGGGAATCCAACTGATGGACGTCACGCCCGGTGACTTTGTGCCACCCATGACGATGATGCCTCCCTGCATGCAAAGTACCTGCAACAGAGAGCCGTGCATGGCGGCAAAGTAGTATGCGCTCAGCGGTGGAAACGTACTTCCTTCGTTGGCGACGGCAGAAAAAGACACCGCGCGAGTGTATTTCCAATGGAACAATTCAAACCGTGGCGAATCTGCGCCGGTGTTACGGTAGTTATGGTGCGCAACCTCTTCTCGTTTCCGCCCCAAACCTCTGCGGTTCGCCACCTCGCGCCCTTCCACACTCGATTGTTCACGCTCACATAACAACTTAGCGGCGATAATCACACAATTTGTCGCGGCATCGTCCCCCTTTGCTTGCAGCAAACCCATGGCGCTGTCAAGCAGTGGAAACGTCATCCGGCACCAGTTGCCGCAATCCACATTGTAGCTCCACACACTTGACTCGTGGCGGCCGACTGCCTCGCCGCCAACGATAACTAAGGCTGAACGATACGGCAAGAGCAGACAGCTGTGAAATGCACGTGAAGGTATCGTAACGGCGGATGGCACAAACACTTCGCGCCACACCCTCGTTCTGCAGTTGAGCACTACTAGATCATTCAGGTACTCGCGCTGCAATCCAATGCCGCCAAACACATACAGCTCCTCTGTGTGAACAATAACCGCCGAGTGTCCAAAGCGCGAAGGTGGCTCCTCCCCAAACGTTTCAAGCAAACTGCTGGAAAGCACCCACTGCTTCGTGTCTACATGGAGAAGCCAGAGCCCAAACAACGGTAATGGATCCCACCCGTTCAAACTACCACCCAAATACGCGTAGGAGACTAGGTTAGAGTCTTTCTCTGTCATAGGCCACGGAGTCAAGGTGGCAAACACACGCGGTGTAGCAATAAATGGCGGCAACCCAGTGAGAGGGGAGTGCAGCGTCCACTGGGCAACAGGTGATATGGGCGTTAGTGCGTGCGCACTGGACGCACTCAAACGGCCTGAAGGTTCACCCCTTCGCAGCACTGTTACACATAACCAAGGCTCACACATCACCAAACCTCTGATGCGCACGTCATGCAACATTTTTGGAACATGGTCAGCAAAGGCACCCCCAATAACAAATGTTAGATGCACCTCGCAATTGGCACGGTAATTGGGCAGAAGAATGTCAACTGCACGAGAACTTGGAATCACCACGGCGCAGTGCCCAAATCGCCGAGGTGGGACTGTCACATTCTCTGTAACAATCTCCCCCGTCATAGAAGTAGCAGAAGCAGCAGCGAATGGCTCCTCACCTGTGAAGCAAATGGCCTTCGCAAGCGAGGCATCTAAAGGCACAACAGAAACGGCTTCATTTCCAGGGACGCAATCCACGCGTGACTCCACGCGCAACACTGCCGAGGTATTGACGACCCGCCCGGTCACTGCCAATATGCCTCCATGCAAAAAGAAGTAAGCATCACCACCCTCTGTTTCACCGCCACTAGCAGCCCTCAATACAACAGAGGCACTGCCACAGTGTCCCGGGTAACTATCCCACACCGACGGACGCAAAGAGAAAGGGATCGTAGGCGGCAAGGGTAGCTCCTCCACCTCATCCTCCATGGAGGAGGCTTCCTCACTCTCATGCATCGGATAATAATAGACAGGCCTGTCATTGTCATTGTATACTTCTTGTTCTTCTTCACTATCGCACGGGTCGTCACGTTGACAATAAAATCGCCGTCTAACTTCGCCAGATGGGAAGCCATCATACCCAAATTGATACCAACCCTCCATGCAGACTCACATTGAGTAAAAAACTGAGACGGAGGCGGGAGTTGCAGTAAAGAGAGTAACCACCAGAATACCTATGTAAGGTTTCAAGAAGCAAAGAACGTCACATGGTTTCCGTTAAACTCGTTGTGATGTTGTGGCCCTCCGACCTAAACAATTAAAGTTTACGTCTTTCCTCCATTTCACGTCCTTTCTCTTTTTTTTCTTCCTTTTCTTTATAAAAAAACTCAAATAAAACTGTTATTTGTCACTGGTTCCCCATCCCCCCCCCCTTTTTTTTCTCTCTTACACGTTTCCGAATAAACGCCGACTCCACGTTGTCATCGCCTTGGTCAGCCAAAAGCAACTTCTGGAACACCTTAAGCAGCAAACGGCTAGCAGAAGAGTTCCTAATCTCTTCCATCGTCTTGACGAAGATACGTGAAGGAGCCACCGTAAGCCCCTCCGCTAGCGAAGCGCAGACCGCTTCTTCCTTTATGCAGCAACTAGGCTTTTCCACCTTTGCGCCTCCGTCATCGTTCCCAAGGTACGGTGTTGCGCTTTCCCATAGCGCATAGTAAATGAGCACTTCCATGTCTATGTGCGAAAATATATGCCGAACATTACCCACGTATCTCACAGCCCCATGTTTTGCATCTAATCTTTCACGTATATTTTGAACAACCTCATCCTTGATTGGGATGCTCTCATGAAATAAACCGTATGTTGTAGAGGGGAACTCTAACATACCACCCAGTAGCCCTTCTTCGGGCCTTTGAATCACAACAAAACGCCTCAGCACCCTACCCTCGTTTGCACTGCCGTAACGAAACTCATGTATAACAGAAACAACTATTTGCTTCTTCTTCTTGGGTGCAACAGACCTTAATGGAATGATGCCTTCAATGGCCTCTATCTCACCACGTGATTTTGAAGCATACGACTTGCAAAATTGCTGCAGTGGACACTCTTCACAAAGAGGCCGTCCAGATGGCTTACATACACTTGAACCAATCTCCATCAAGCCCTCATTGAAGGCGCCAGGATCGTGACAAGGCCCTTCATTCATCAATTCTTGAGCCCAGTGTGTCACTGCCTTCATGGTCTTTGTCGCCTTGGGGTCAACGTCTCGCTCACAGCGCAGTCTGGTTATCACTCGCACAACGTTTCCATCCACCGCTGCAATGTTCTCTCCAAAGCAGATAGATGCAACCGCCGCAGCAGTGTAAGGGCCAATACCTGGTATTTTCCGCAATTCAACTGCTCTGATGGGCAACTTCCCACCAAAATGTCGCATAACGTATTCAGCACCCCTTTTCAAATACAGTGCACGACGATAATAGCCCAACCCCGCCCAAGCTGCTTTGACAGACTCTTCAGAGGCCTCCGCTAAAGCTGCCACGGTGGGGAAGAGCGAGATCCACCTTTCAAAGTAGGCAATAATGGTGCCTATTTGAGTCTGCTGGGACATAACCTCGCAGACCCAGACATGATAGGGATTGCGCAGGCAAGCAGTAGTTCCCGTGCTTGTGTCCAATCCATCGGTGGGAGAAAAAGACTGTCGCCAAGGTAGATCCCGTTTGTGATGTATGTAAAACCACTCTGTGGTGGCCTTTTGTACTGCTCGGTAAAGCCCGCTCATCTCCAAAAGCTGTTCACCACACCCCCACACCCACGTCAAGCTTCCTTTCAGTGGAAAAACAGAGATAAATAATAGAAGTCAAATCTCCCAACACCGTCCTCACTCCTCATTTTTATCGTTGTGCACCTTCAGCGTGTTAGACAAACCAATAAACAAGGTTGCATAACACGAATATTTTCACTCGTTGTTGTTCTTGTTGTTGTCTTTGTTTCCTTGTTTTATGCTGTAAAGCACACAACAGCAGTGGGTTAGAAAAAAAAAAAGAACAAACGCATCATCTTAAACAAATAAAAATCAATAACTCTACCCGTTTGAGGTAACAGAAAAGAAGTATTAAGATTCTAGACAATCATGCAATTCAAATCGCTCGCTAATCCGCTGTAACGCAGATTCTCCTCTTTGGATTTGAAAAAAATAATTACACCAAATGTGAAGTTCGTAATAAAGCACTAGCCTTTTATACACATAAGTCTGGCCGCTACGCCGTGGTATCCAAAAGAATAATAACAATTTTTTTTTACTCTTCGGCTTTCTATGTGCCCTCATTCTTAGCAATGTAAAGGAGTAGAGAAAGCAAAAGAGTGAGTGCGCCTGTTTATATAAACATGGCTGTTGCACTCTTTCTCTCTGAGATGATTCTTTGAGCACAACACACTGTCACCATTCTAAGTAACTGTATCGGGTATTTATACATGTATTATAAACCTGTCTTTTAATTTTACCACCACATCCTACACTATATACTGCAAAAAAAAAGGCAGGGAAAATAAAGCAAAAAATGGTCACTTCACGCAATAACTGCAGCAAAGACAAAAATACATTATTGTCAGTGAAGTACAAAGGCATATGTCAGGCAATCATTTCATAGCTTACATATACATTTTGTTGGAATCGCCCTCATCTCTCAATATGGTTAATCACGACAACAACTCCAGAGATCGAAAATGGGAGATGGAAAGAAAATCAAAAACGGGAAAGCAAATGCACTTTACCTCACGTATAGTCCTCACAACCTATTTCCCAGAGAAGCTGCTACCAACAACAACATCACCATGATAATCAAAACACGTACAGACCCCAAAGAAGCAAAGGAATTGAGTGGACAGCGTAAAACTCTAATTGCCTACGATGACTTGAAAAGGAGTACTCCCATTTGCCCCATGTAAAAGTAAAAGTAGTGATTTGTCTCATGGGTAACATAGCTGCCAAAATTGCGACCAACAAAGCAATTCCATGTAGGGCCATACTTCTTATCAAACTCCCTTTTAATGTGTGATGCAACTTCTTTTTCGGTGTACAGCTTTAAGAATCCGTCTTGCGCGCAATGAATGGCATAGTTCTCCATGTCTTTTGGCATCTCTACGATGTTAATCGTTGCCGAAGGGAGCTGCGTCATAATCAGCCTTTAACGAACCCGGTATACTATTAAATTGATGTGTTTCACACTTCCTAATTTACATATGCAAAGCAAATAATAATGAGAAAAGCAATCAACGCAATATATATACTAAATTTTAATGTAAGAAAAAAAGAAGCGTTTAAATGAATTCAAACAAATTGAATTTACCTGGGTGTGATTCTTACAAATATCATACTCCTCCAACATACTCAGCTATCTATCTCACACATTTCTTCACCCAGATTGGTAAATTACACACTCAAGCCATTCCGTCCATCCTTTCTTGTTTTGTCTATTCGTGCTTCTTCCCTAATGTCTACAGTATAAGACACCACTATTGCCGCTAAACCCACAAAAAAGAGTCCGAGAGAAGATGAAAAGTGATTTTCACATGCATACATTATCCTGCCGCATCTACCGTATGTTTCCAACCGCTACCAGAGATCTAACAATTCAGTTTTGTATTCACATAAAATCGATTTCCGACTTTTATTTCTTTGAAAGAAAAAAAACGCGCTTCATGGCCGACTTATTATTCTCTCAATGTCTTTTTCTTCCAAAAGTAGGCTCACAATGAAACTGAATGAAAAATATTTAACACAAGGTTCTGACTATGACTAAACAAAGAGGCATTACAAAAAAGAAATCAAAGAAAGTAGAAATTCTCAGTTTTTTTTTATTAAAAAAAAAACTCAGCAGATGTATAAAAAGCGTCCCCCTTCCGAATTGTCCCTGATTACAAAACCACGGCTTATAAGAAATTCCAACGCCACCTTTACCTGTTGAACGGAAGGCATAAACTTTTGAAGAGACTCATCTTTGACCTTCTCCACAAGTTCAGAAAAAGAAAGCGCAATATTGGACTTAAATACACGAACAAGTGTCGCTTGAATCGCAGGAGCTTTCAACTGGTCTACAACATGGTGAGAAGCATCTACAGGATCATTAGCTAAATCATTACTAGATGCTGTAGTGGCCTGAAAGCATCCCCCCCACTCAGATGAAAAAAGATTCAACTTCCTTTTTCTTGTGTCCGGGTTCGAACCAAAGCGAACAAACTGTTCTGTCACAACTGATTTCAAGGGAAGCTCAACCGGTCCATTCTCATCATAAACTTCAAGAACACCATAACCAGCAAATGAGTTCAGGGAGCGCAAAAAAAATTCTTTGTTCGTCACTTCCATTGTCTCTAATAATTTTGAAATAGACCACTCTGCTCGATTATTGAAGCATTCTGTAAGTAATAGTTGAAATTGTCCAATACGCAAATCTATGCTCGGTAGGCGAGAACCTCTGGGCAAGACCATCTTTACCCAGCCATAGGAGCATCGCGGAACAAACGTGATATGACGCTTTGGACGGACTTGCGAATAAAACAATTGGAATTCATTCAACTTAGGCAACAAAATGCTTGGTGTTGAAAGCTGTACGTCACAAGAAGCATCTGGCCACGAATAGCTTGTGAGAACACTAGGATGAAACAACCATGTTATAGATTTACCATGGGCATTTGCATATTTCGAGTCAAACATATCGCGCAGTGAAACACTATTTTCCGTAACATCTGTCAGCATAATCACGCATCTGGACACAAAGTCAGAAGTACAACCACTGGCTTCAGATATTGTCTGAATAGCAAGACGTTCGTGTTCCTCGGAATAAGTTTCGAATAAAAGTCTAGTAGACAAATATTTCGGATATGCTTCTAGAAAAGAACTTTTTGACGGTAGAATCTGAAACACATTCACAACCTCCTTCAAGGCAACTTCACATTCTTCTTTGGATTCTGTAGATATCAGTTTTGTGTGAACAAAAAGAGCCAATTCCTCTCCCAAAATATGATAACTCTTTACATATGAAAGAGAGGTCAAAATTCTCTCAAGTCCAAAAAGCATCGCCGTTTCAAGAACCTCATTACCCTGAAAGGATTCATTTACTTTTACAAAATATTGATGTACAGACATAATCCCCTCAAGAACAGTCTTGTAGACATTTTCCTTCAATCTCAAGCTGTCCTCACATATTTTGCTAATATCCTCTAATCCTTTTTTAAAAACAGCATTCTCAAAGACCTCCTTCAGCAATAACAAACCTTTGGAATTTTTTGAAAGTAACTGAAACATTTTGTTCAAAATATAACCACGGTTGTTGAGTATCCATACAGATAAATGTGGCTTAATGTAGTCAATCTCAGACTCGATAAGGATCTCAGACAAACGTTGTAACATAGGAAGCATTGTGCACTTGTTCAAGATGCGATTGACACGTTCTGTTTCGTCCTCGAATATAACAAGAGATCGTTCTATATAAGACAAAATACCACCTGATTTTAAAACATTAATATTCGCTTTGTAAAAACGCTCCAGATGCACAAAATAAGGCTCCTCAATCAAAGAAGAATATGCTGTATGCCGTGGATCATTCAACGCCGCCAAGGAATGTGAGAGACCTCGTACAAGGCGGGTAGATTCCTCATCTAATCGATGAAGCCTGTCTTGTGAAATAAGACTAAATATTTGCTCTGTCAAACTCCCACATATTTCTGGAGACATTATTATTTCACCCCATTGAATTAGCGCCACAACCTCTGTTGGTAAAAGGGGCTGATCTGAAGGCACTTCACGCTTTTGCCAAGGGCTGTGAAGATAGGAAAATATCACCTTTAAGTGATTCACAGCAACAATAAAGGTCCTCCATTCAGACAAGTATACATGCAGCAAAGTGGGTGGTTCAGCTTTAAGTGACAGCTTGAGTCGATGGATAACTACCGATAATAATCGTTTGCGTATTGTTTCACGTAACAGATAGTACACAACAAGTGCCTGTCTCCCCTCACACCCGCCCTCAATGGGGTCCTGCTGAGCATTTGCGCCACGAACCAATTTGGGACACTCCAAACAAGGAACCGAAACCAACCTATATACAACTGTATATGCACGAACGACTTGTTGAATTGCCGTCTGCCCCACAAAATCCGGTGAGTCTGTCCAGCCAAGAATCTTATTGCATACGTTTTCCACTTTATTCCAAAGAACACCAAAATCAAAGGTAGTGGCAAACAAAGGCCCCGAATAGGCTCTCACAAAGTCCCGACGAGGATCGTCCGAAGATGGTATACGTCTCATGGTTTATGTTCAATTCGCTATTTTTATTTTTTCACCCCAATCTCTGCTGTGCAATTTGCGTGTTTGTTTCTCTTAATGGGTTACTACCTTCCTTTTCTTTTAATATGGCCAAAGACAACAGAAAAGAAAAAGACAAACACGCTGTGATAGGAGAGCAAACCAAAACCTCAATAATAAACCGGCCTCACCCAAAAAGCCACTAGGCCGCCAAAACCCAAAACGCAGAACAGAATATATATATATATATAAAAAACATACAAAACGCATTATAAAAAAAACTATAATTCTCGTCATCAAACAAACAAAAAACATAAAAAAATAATGATAATGATATTAGTCATGATAGCAATACGAAAGAGCTTGCACACAATGAAGAAAACTTCACAAAATAAAAAACAGCCTCCACAAGACAAAGTCTCAGGAATTAGCAAAACGCATATGCATCCACCCATCCACACCACTCCGGACGAGGCGTACTGGCATCACCCTCGGCGCCCAAAAGAGCACGCCGCCTCCCAAGACGCAGCCTACCACCCTGCACGGCCACCCCTAAACATACCCAGAATCACCCACACATACCCAAAAAAAAAACGCTAAACCAACCTCCAACCACACCCAACGATGAAGATCCCCACCTCCGCGCGAGATCGACCCCACCCCACGGGCGCGCCTCCTAAAACAAACCATCACTGTATTCCGGCTCAGTGAACTCCCAAAGCACAAAGCATCATTATCGACGCGCGCCGGGCCCCAGGTAACAAAACAAGAACGTGACCGCAAGGTGTTACATCCGGGCCCCGCCACCATGCATTGCGAGGCCCTGCGCCACCAGCCGCCCACCGCACGCAAAGCAGCGGTGACCACTCTCGGCGATGGTGTCGATGACGGCCCCATTCCGTTTTCCTGGAAAACAGGCGTTGCCGTACTGCCTCCCAAACCTGGCGAGCCCACCGGTAACCCAATCTTGCCTAGGCCCGTTGCCTTTTTCAGCCTGCCCGCGCGAGGTCGCAGAAAGGGCTGAGGCACGCCGCATCCGTAGCGCAGCCGAAGGCGAAGTTTTTTCCCAGCAAGCTGATTTTCGCCGAAGTTGGTCGACGCCGGGCCTGCCGGCGCCTTCTTTGCTACACCGCTCGCCGTGAAAACGGGAAAAGGTCGGTGCGGCGCTTGTGGGCCGCACCGGGGCCTCCTATTCAGATGGTTGCAGTTTTGTATTCGCTGCAATCAAACAGCGCAAGGCGGATTTGCACCTGATCTGTTGGGTGGCGGACCTCCCTTCCCGCCGCCCGCCGAGGGCCCGTATACACGAGACCTTCTCCACCCCTTTCTCGGCTCACCTGCGGTGCCCCACGGTAGCCAGCTTTTGGCCCACGGTTTTGCACCTTTGCCGCTAACAGCCCCAGTAAAAAGCTGGTGGGCGCCCCCATCCTCGCGCATCCCTTCTTCGCCGGCGGCCTCGCATTCGGCGCGCTAGCCCGAGGCAGAGGCCCCATCGAGACCAGGCCGTAGCAAGCCTTGGGCTGCATTTTGGATTGGGCAAATAAAACAAAGACGACGCGCAACCAAGTGCAGCGAAGGCGAAGCCCATGCTACTCGGCACCCAACGGCGCGGCTCGCCCCAT